AAGTCATCAATCAATTCTTTCATTTATGTGATAGGCCTGTATTTAAAATGAACATTTACCATAAATTAAAGGTATCTTATATTATTAGATATATTATTATAAAACATGCTTTAGTTAAGGAGTTATTGATACTTCAAATGCAAAATGATGATATAAAACCATGATAAAAATACACTTTTAAGTACTAATCATTTAGATACAAACTTTCTAGGCTTGAAACCATAAGCAACTTTAAATGAACTAATATATCGATCAAGTTATTATGAGCAAATTAGACCATTACAAGCTTTCTAGGCTTGAAACCGTAAGCAACTTTAAATGAACTGATGTTTATAAATATATCGATCAAGTTATTATGAGCAAATTAGACCATAAAAATAACCAAATCCCAATCTTTTATGATGGTCACTTACTAGGTATCTTAAAAAGTTGTCTAAGCTTTAAGCCTTAATTGACTATCTTCGTTTTGGTATTTTTTTTAAGGGTAATAGATATTAAAGAATTTCAACTTGATATCAGTGATATGCCAAAAGGTCTTTTCAAAAAAACTTACAGATCACGCATCCCTATTATGATTTTGAAAATACCATATCACCTAGCAATATCATCGTGGTAGTCTATAAATTTGATAAGGAACATACATTTTTGGAATTTATATGGAGATAGTATCAACCCATAACATATTATATGACTTAAGGATGGAGAACATATTTTAAGCCTTGGTGAGCTGTAATAATAGAAGATATTGCATTGATATCATCTTTATTATTAATGATGATCTTACAACTTTTATCCTTATATTTAATACATGTATGAAAAATAACAATCCTTCTCCAATTTTTAGTTCTCTAGGGTTATGTTATGGTATATCTTACGAGACCTAATTTAGTTATTTCTAATTTTATAACGTGTTACTCAACTTGAATGAATAAATGAATTAAACATGACCTAATAATCTTATCTTTCTCATCCAGATTATAAAAATTCATATGATTAGTTTCACACACTTAATCACCATAGTCTTTCTTTTTATGTATATTATTTTGTTCTTTGATAACTTATGCTTTATTGGTATGGTTAGTTTCAACATGACCAAAACTTTGACATTTAAAATATAGACTTATTAAGCTCGTTTTAGACTTGAGTACTTTTTTGAGGTTGAATTTGTGAGTATAGACTTATTGAGCTCGTTTTAGACTTATTGAGTACTTTTTTGAGGTTGAATTTGTGAGGTAAAGCATATAATAAAAATTAAGTACTTTTTTATTTTTGTTTTTCTTAAAAAAATAGATACTATTGAGGTTGAGTTTATAAGGTAAAGCATATAATAAGAATTATTATTTCTAAATTGAGACCTATCAGGGGTGTAGGGGTTGTTTAAATATCTCATTCACTATTTATTTTTATAATAACTCATAATCTTGAACTAAGATATAGACTTGGTCAATAACAGAAACACATTGAAGCATAATCTTTTTTACAAGATCATCATTCAAGGTCTTATAAAACCTATTTAAAAGTTATGGTCTAATCCGCTCTCATGGCACATCTCATTTTATTATTATTGAATTGTGCTACATACTTACTCATAAACTTTTTTTTGTTGCCTAAGACTATTCCATTAGTTTAAAAAGTTACCTTTATATGATAAGGATAAATACTTGTTTAATAATGTTTTTGTTTCATATCAATCTAATGAGTGAAAAGAGGCTCACCCCTTTTCTTTAAATAATTCTTTACCTTCTCTTAATAAAGTTTGGTAATATCATTAATCTTTATCATAGTAAATTTGACATTTTTATTTTCAAACAATTTATATTATTAAAAAAAGTATCCATATCAAGACTTCACATAATGAAAATCATAATAAAAAAAATAGAAACCTCTACTTTAATATGTTCCATGACTTACTCATTATAGTTATTATGATGACCTTGGTTGTAGTTATATTAGTAGTGTCCATGATGAGCATACATATGATGCTTGTTAGGATTTTCATTGTTATTAGGTTGTCTTATTTGGAAAATATTTTTGGACTCGATTCCCTTATAAATATTATTTATCTAGGTTTGCATGAGTTATAGTTGCTCCTAAATGGTTTTTAGAAAATCATACATGACTAGATCCATCATAAGTTTAGTTTTGGGGTTAGACATCAAATGATCATTGTATAAATGCATATGACACTAGCTTAAAAATACAAATAAGATAACAACAATTCTTGCAAGAAAAACTTAATATAAAAAGTAAAGCCAATCTTGATTTTTTTTTTCCATCGATTAATCAAGATCATAATAAATAAGAAAAAATTATAAGCACTCAATATTAGATTTTTAAGTGTAAATAGTTAATTAAGCAAAAAGTCATAACTTTTCATAAGTACAGGCAAGCTTCATAATTAAAAAAACCAGGGATTTAAAAATAAAAAAAGATGAAGTATTGGACAAAAATGTTAAATTGTCAAACTCAAGGGACCAAAATTGACTTTGCTAATTTTTTAGACTGAAAGTGCTAAAAAGGTTCGTTTCAAATTATAACCACACACAACAAAAAAACACTATATTCATTATTTTTTTTGTCAAATTAGCCCCCTATTTTTTTAAAAAAAATCAAGAATTAATCTGACACCAAAATGTTTTTGTTAATATCATAATAAACTCATAAACAACAAATCATAAAGCCAAATTATAAGTTAGCATAACATCAAAAGATTAATTTGAAAAAATAATCTGACCTTAATAAAAAAAATATTAAAAGAATAAACAATTAGGTTCATTGCTCAAATAATAGCCACCAAAGACAAATCCTATATTCTTTTATGTTGGTAGATTGGTCCCTCAATTTTTTTTTGCTATAAATAAAAAATGTGTTTTAGCAAAATCAAGAAACATTCTAATATCAAAATAATTTTTTAACATTACAATAACCTCATAAAAAATAAAATAAAATAAATTATATGACCAAATTCTAAACCTCATAATATCAAAAGATAAATTAAAAAATTATTAAAATAAAAAAAATATAATCTTGTTATCTATAATGCATCAAGTCTTGGTACATAATGGATCGCACAATAAAATCAACACATTTCTTAAATTGTTTTTAAGTTTGATGAATAAATAAATTTGAACTTAATATTAATTAAAAAATAAATTTATTATTAATATTAGATTTTTTTTAAAATTAATAAAATGATTTTTTTTAAAATAAATATAATGTCTAAAAAATATACCAAAATTATCATAACTAAAAATTTATTTATCAAACTATTAAAATTTTATGAGACGCACAGTTGCATAAGAGCAACTAAAACATTGTTGTATCAGTAATATTTTTCCAATAATTTATTTATAAAAATAACACATTTTTAATTTCAACTCTTTGCCAAAAAAAAAAAAAACTAACAAATCCAACAAGTTTTATTTAACACAAATTCATAATCAATTGAACATAAATCGCATAACATGTAGTTTAATTTTATTTCAAGTTAATTTATAACTAAACAAACTCAATTTATAATTAATTAAAAAATTATTTTATTGTATCAGCAAAATAAATTAAAGATGGAAAGAGAGAGAAATGATGCACCGGGGGAGAAAGAGGTGTTCTATCACTGTAGAGAGGGAGCTTTCATGGTGGAGGGAGAGATCAAGAGAGGGGAGGTGAGGGCCACAGGGAGGAGGAGAGTAAAAATAAAAATAAAAATAAAAATAAAAATGAATTTTGCCAATTTTAATTCGATTGGACACGTAGATCAGACAGGCGCGTCTCATTAACTGTATTATTTTGAAAAATAAATTTCAACCATGATAGTTTGTGCCAGGCTTAGCGGCCATCCTATTTTTGTTAAAAACTCCAATCAAGGTGCTGTTGAGCTAGTTTCTCCAAACTTAAAAAAAGAAGAAAAGTATTCTGATTTCTTTTTTCCATTTTTTTTAAACTACCAAACAATAAAATAATCTCACTATTTTTCGATTTGTTTATCTCCTTGCATATTTGAGCTCCGAAGTCCTAACCTCTGTCTCTCTCCTGTCTAGGGTTTCGAACCCAAAAAAAAAAAGCAAGAACGTTCGCTTACAACTCCCGCTTCATGATTCTAGGGTTTTAATCGGCAGAGAGTCAAAATCTCTCCGCCACAGCCACTTCATATGCACTCTGTCTAGTCCTTTTGACCGGGGTGTTTCTTCGATTTCTTGATAACGGTGAGGTTTTGAACTCTTCTTCACTTCCCGCTTTCTGTGATTCCTTTTTCACCCTCTAATCTCGGTATTTAGGGTTCAATCAATTGATTTTGAAAACGCAATTTTAATTTCTTTGGAGGAATTAGGTATCTTATTTTTTTTTATCAGGTATTAGGTCGATCTCATCTTTTGATAGTTAGTTTAATTTATAATGTTAATTAATTGAACCAATTGGTGATTAATTATTTGAATTCGGGTTTGCAGCAGTAGGTGCTGTTGCTAAGAAGGGAATTTGAGATTTTTCATGTTGCTTAATGTTGGTTGGTGGATGTTGAATGGTTGTTACCATGGATTTAAATGTTTTGCCGGGGCCTGAAGATAACGATGATAATTTTGAAGGGAACGTAGAAGAACACGGTGCTCCCGAAGAACGGTTTGAGTCTGCTGCTGAAATTGCCCGCCGGGTAATTCTAAATTATATTCTTGCATTTTGTTATGAGTATCCTGAGTTAGAAGAACGCTTTTTCGTTCTAAGTCATGTAATGCTCTGGTGAATGAGAATAATCAGGAGAACTTTACTTGAGTTTTGTTATTGCGGAAGGGTAAAATATTGCTGTGATGTTTGTCTTGGCATTTTTACACGAGGGCTCTTTTTGTGACTGCGGGTTTGGTAATTTTGTTACATGTAAAGTACCATCCAGTTATTTGAAAAGTCATTCAAACCAGGTGATTATTGTCGTTTGTCAAGAAATAGGAATTGAAGCAGCTGTAGCTGCATGGAGCTTTGGCATTGGACCCCAATTTATCATATTGTAGCAGTTGGACTAAGTATTTTGATTGATCAGAATTTAATTTTTTTTTTTTGTTGTCTTCTCTGCCGGGTGCCACTTTAAGAGTGGAAAATGGATTTGTGCCTTAGAATATATCACTTTTCAACTTCAGTAGATGGAAGTCTTAACAATTGCAGATGGCAATCTTTTTATATAATCAATTCATCATTTTTTTGGGGCTAATATACAAATGTGATTATGCAAGCACGTTGTAACAAAAGGTTGGAGAATTTTGTTTCCTTATGGATATCATGTGTTTTTAAAATGTGAATTTGAGTCCTTGGAGCTTGGCTGATGGGAGGAGAAGAATGTAAAACCTGTAAATTTATTAATTAAAGACTTATTTGTGATCATCAAGTCCCAAGGGAAAGTAATAACTTTTCTCTTGTAATAAAGTGCGCACAGCACATTCTCTTATAACCAAGTTAGATAAGCACTCAGTTGACATGTTATCATTACTATTTTCAATGCTGTGGGATGGAACACCTAGAAGTTGTTTAATACTGTGGAAGAGGCACTCTCCATTTGATTGGGGTTCAATTATTTTGATTGCTAACATCTTTTGTGGACTCTGAATAGAATGAAGGAGAGATTTGGCTGTCTGTTCATTTGACTGATTTCTAGATTAATTTTCTTTGGGGTTAAATTGACAGTCTGTTTTACCTGTCTTGCTCAATCACCCATCTGGGTTTTCTTTTTGCCCTTTTGTTTTTGGATGATTAATATGCCATTATGTTGCATTTGTTTGTGCTCTGTATTCATGCTTGACTGTTGATCTTATGTTCATCCTGATTAGGAGCGTGAAGAAAGACGCAAACGTTTGAGAAATGAAAATATGGAAGACAGACCTGTGCATTTGTCTCGGCAACCAGTGCATGATAATCCTTTCCCATCTAAACACTATAAATCTTATGACAAAAGTAAACTTCCTGCTGGTAAGTTTCTTATCTAATTACTCTATGCAGAAATGGCTTCTGTGGTTTGCATTACAGATGGTTTTTAATTGTACTCACTGATTTCATTGCTGTATGTTGAGTTATCCATTAGAGGTGTACGTTGCTGCCTTACCATGTTCCTGAGTATCAATCCGTCATTGATTGTTTGTTTGTTAAATTTGCACTTATTGGTGGATCTTGCTTGCTACTGAAAAAATGTAAAAAATATTTTGACACCAAATTGTGTGTTTCTTTTGACATTTATAAGCAGCAGGATATTTGTGAGTCCCTTTGGGCCAACGCGTTAGTCCTCTATTGTCTGGGATTGACCATATGAAGGTGTAATTATTTTTTCATGTTCTGTTGTACCATGGCTGTGAGTCTTGGAGTAGCTTAATCATTAGTTCTTCACCAATTGGATTACTAAAATGTTTAGCAAGAAGGTGGAGTAGCATTCACCACTTCCAAGATAGCTTTTCAATTACATGATTGTTTAGAATTTTAGATGTTCTTAGATATTTTATTACTTGGTAGCATAGTTTTATTTCCTATCACAGCAGTATTGTTTCAGGAATTCATTTTTTCATATTTAGTATTGATTGCTTTCGTTTATTCTTGAAGAATTTTTATTTCTATCTGGTTTAGTTTTGGCATCAATATAAGAGCACCTCCTATGTATAAAGGTCACTTATATGATGATTGACAATTAACTGTAGTACTGTACTATTGGAAGATCTTTGCATTTTCTTCTTGCTCTTCTGTTTTTTGCTCCCATTTCTTTCCATATCTCCTTCCTTACCTTCCTTTCTATCCTACCTCACGCGGTTATTAACATGACTGTGTTGCATTTGTATATTATTAGTGCTACAGAAACAGACTACTTAGCATCAGAGATTGATGAATTGAATGTACTGGAGATAATTACGCTGACAAAAATTTAAAGGCTATTCCCTGGAAGTCGAACATAATTTTTTCTCGTATTACCATGGTGATTCCCTTTGTTGATGACCTTTGCCAATGAAGTCTATTTTTGGCCACAAGTATTAGGAAAACAGTTGTCATCTTTTTTTTTTTTTCTTGATATTAATGAACAGTTCTGCTGATGGGTATTTGGCCTGGTAGTGTTCCTCACTGAAGAGACAAGAGTATGGGGAGGATTTGGATTGTCTTTGTTAGCTTAAGACCTTAGAGAAGGGGGAAAAAGGAAATAAAAAGATATCTATGAATGGTTCTCTGAGTTGTGGTCTTCTGGCTTTCTCCTTTCAGCCATTCACTGGATTTCTAAGCTTTTGATTGGTCCATGTTGGTGAAACCTTGCCCTATGCTTTCCTTAGTTTAAGGACGGTGTGACTGTAGCATCTCAGTATCATTTCTTTCACTCAATTATTTGCTATTCATAATTGCAGGCTGGTTGGACTGTCCTGCATTTGGCCAGGAGATAAATTGTATCGTTCCTTCCAAGGTTCCACTTGGTGAAGCCTACAATGACTGTATTCCTCCTGGTAAAAGATACTCTTTTAAACAAGTCATTCATCAACAAGGAGTTGCGGGAAGGAAAGTAAGTATCTTGAACTTGAAAGTCATTTTTACTTCCCTTGATTCCTAGTAAATCTCGTCTATTATGAGAGGGAATAATACTGTCATGAGCACTCAATTAATTTAATAAGAACCCGACTTCTGAATCAGCCATATTATCAATCTAAAAGAACTAGATTAGAGGAAAAAAGTTCCACAATTTAGCAGGGTCACATTGCCGCTCAATTTAAAATTGCAAATAACTTTTTTCCTTAGTCATATGCATATTTCTAACAGTGTAGATTTGCATTAAGGAGTTATGAAGAATATATTTTTCTCTCTAGGGAAGGAAATATTGTCTTGAACAATTCTAAGTCTATCCACTGATTTTTCAGCTCGGTCTGGTGATTGATTTGACAAATACTACCCGCTACTATTCAACAACAGATTTGAAGAAAGAGGGTATCAAGCATGTCAAGGTGAGTTGGCAATGACAACAATTTCTTTAGTCTCTGTTTTTTACTGTAGAGCAGCTTACCTGAAAATAGCTTATTTTCTTTCATTGTCCAGATATATTGCAAGGGCCGTGATGCTGTACCGGAGAATACAGATGTAAATACCTTTGTTTATGAGGTATGCTTCTTTTGCATTACCTTCTCAGGTTTTCTATGTCTTTTTCCTCGATTGGATCTTCTTGCAGCACGTCTTTTCCCACATTTGGTATTCTTCGCAGACCACTAGCTTTGTTTCATGGTAGTTTGCACATTGTTATGTTTTTTCTATGCTATTAAGCTATCACTGTTATGAATCTCAAGTTGTGTACAGAAGTGCTAGGAGAGAGCATCATATTGGAACCACAAAGCTCAAATGTGAGCATGGGTTTGATTGTGAACATGTGTGTTATGTTTAAACCTTCATATGTGTGTTTGTTACAAGAAATTGTTGATCATGATTCTTCCTTTTAACCAAGTCAAACTGTCACTCTCTCTCCCCTATTCCCAACGAAACAGAAGCAACCGTGCCCTACCTAACTGGGGTATTTATCTATCCACATAAAGGCAGCATATCCTTCTCTAATGAATCATTTATACCTAAACATGCTGTGTTAAATGAGTGTAATATTATACTAAACAATCATGCGTTTATAAAACCTTTTCAGGTCATACAATTTCTCTTGCGTCAGAAACATACAAAGAAGTATATTCTTGTCCATTGTACACATGGGCATAATCGCACAGGATATATGATAGTTCATTATCTAATGCGTTCTCAACCAATGTCTGTCACTCAAGTAAGTTTCCAATGTTTCCTTTTTTGTATATCTCAGTTGGTTTTATTCCACAAGCTATATGTGTTGAAACCTCCTTTGCTAATTGTGCAGGCAATAAAAAAATTTGCTGAAGCACGTCCTCCAGGAATATATAAACCAGATTATATTGATGCCTTGTACTCCTTTTATCATGAAAGAAAGCCGGAAATGGTTGTTTGCCCACCAACTCCAGAATGGAAGAGGTCTTCAGAATTTGATCTCAATGGCGAGGCAGTGCCTGATGATGATGATGATGGAGGTTCAGCTAAGAACCTGCATGTATGCAAATTCTTAGATGTAACATCTAGTTGTCATATATATATATATATTTGTGGTGGCATGATATGAACAGGTGGTGTAGTGGAGGTTTTTTTGCATATAACTGGCAGTTTCTGCATGAGAACTAATTTTGGAAATGTTGGCTTTAGTGGAAACTATTAGAAAATCTAATTATTATTCAAGTCAACAAATAAAAATGTGGCAGCAGCACGGTGACAGATGTATTGTTGGTAATGATGCTCAGCTGTGATCAGCTACATCTCAGTTTTTGATCTTTCATTTGGAGTTGTTAACTAGTTAGGACAAGAATGGCCTTACTTCTAGTGACTCTGAGTATCATGATATGTAAAATTGAATTCAAAGTGTAGTGATTCTTGAATTTGTTGTCAAATATTTTTCTTTGCTTTGCATGAGTTTTACTGACATTTTAGAGTTAAGAGACATGTCTTAGATTTCAAGTTGCATGGGGATCTTTCTCTTTCCTTTAATGATGTGAAGGATGTACAGCTGTTATGCCTGCGTCATTGTTTGAAGAACTCTGAGGCTATTAAACATCTTAAAATACGGTGCTCTGTAGCAAGTGATATTAGAATGTTCTTGTTTGATGGGTTCTTATTCACGACAATAACATAGTGGCTCCCTGATGATAGGCCAGCATCCCTAACTTTTGATTGCATGCTTAAAATTCAGATGAGTAATAATTCACTGGATTTTTCCTATAATTTTTCCATGTGGATTCAATGCAGTTTTTTATATACTTCTTTTTTAGAAGCTACTCTTTTTTTTTTTCAATTGAAATTAAAAAAAGAAGATGGCTTGGTTATCCATTAAGGAAGTTCTAAACTGGATGCTCGAGTTCTGCATTAACCTTTATACTAGCAAGAAGGTGATCGGTGGTTGCATGCATTAGAGACTGATGCTGAGTTTAGACGGAAAGCTTTGTTGTTAATTATTTTAAACTTTTGGTGTTATTCTTCCTTCATCGGCCAAACATAAATGTTGCATGTTAAAAAACAGCGTAGAAAATTTTTGAAATGAAATTTATGGTGATGTATTGCTATATAACAAATTGATGGGGGGTTTCACGTCTTTTGTTTTTTCCTCTTCCTTTGCTTTATGAATTCTTATGCATGGCCTCATTTAGTTTAAATATCCCTATGAAATTGTAGCATCCTGTTTGTTTAGATTTTGTGCATTCCATTTACCATTTCAGGACAATCATGAGATGGATGTTGTAATGACAAATGATGATGTTCTGGGGGATGAAATACCTAATGACCAGCTCGATGCACTGCGGCAGTTCTGCTACCAAACGCTTAAGCTGAATGTTCCTGTAATACTTCTTCGCCTCTCTTTAAGCTTTTTTATGCTGCTCAATCATTGTTATAGTTTAAGATATCTTAGATTTGGTTTAGCACCCATGTGTTTTTGCTTCCTAAGTTACCTTATGCTGATATGCATTGTCTTGATCATTTTGACCAAGTGTGAATTCAGTTTTCTCCTTGTAATATGTTTTTCACACATCCTGCACCTCCTAGGTTTCATGTACAAATGCCATTAGTAGTTTTTTATTTTCACATAAAAAATGATTGAAATTTGATTGTGGAATGTATCCTGATAATGGGTGAAAAAATGTTGTTCATAACTTCTTAATTTTTGAAATCTTGAGCTAGAAATATCTTCATTCAGACTTCATTTTGTACTGACTTTTTTCTTAAATTTCAGGGAAGAGGAAAACTGATATTCCCTGGGTCGCACCCTGTTTCCCTCAGCAGGTCCAAACTGAATTTTTTTTATTGCTATTTTGTGTTTTTTTTATGCTTTGATATACATATTAGGTGGAGGAGCTTCAGTTTTTTGAGCTAGGATCTCTATAACTTAGAACAGAGGTGCCTCTAATCACCATCTTTTAAGCTATGATTTAGACATGCAAGGATATGAAAGAAAACCTAATATTTATGCTCTCTGGATCAAAAAATTGCTATGGTTTAGTGTTAAAAACTCAAAACCATCGAATATGATAATCTTGTAATTATTAAAAATGTTATAGTAATGGTGAAGGGAAGCTGAGATTTTATTGAGCAAATGAAGTCCTGGCATTATGATCGATAACTGAATATTGCTGTCATTTGTATTTCCTACAACCTGAATAATATTTAGGGGAAATATACAGCAAACTATCATCTGAGTTTGTACTGTTGCTTTTATATAACTTAGAACACATATATAAAATATATTTTAGTTTGCGTCCACTTTGGAGTGGCTTGAATCTCTATCTCTCATGATGGGAAATGTCTGAAGACATTGGCCCCATTTACTTGATATTTGACCTCCTCATTTGAGGTCTGGGGCAGTGGGAACTGCAAAAGTGAACTATGGAGACCTTTCCATTTGCTCAATTCAAAATTGGTTGTTTATATGTTGTGCCTGTTAGAAGGAAATTTGTGTTTTTTATTCTTTTGCTTGCTTTATTATGAATGCAGTGAAGCCTAAATTTTACAGTAGACGGAAAATGATTCTTAATTTTATTAATTTCTTTTCCCCATTTCAAATGAAGAATTGATGGACGTGGTATTTGTTCATGGGTTATTATAGTGTATTCCAATTTGGCTTACAGTGAACATGGAGCTTATGCGCCTAGTTTAACTTAATTTTTTTCTTGGTGTCACTTAATAAGAAAAGGATTTAATTTTGCGGCATGCAGGGACAACTTACTGCTATTGAGGACGCGTTATTATTATGCAACATGGAAGGCTGATGGAACAAGATACATGATGTTAATTATGGAGGATGGGTGTTTTTTGATAGATAGGGATTTTAAATTCCGAAGGGTACAGATGAGGTTTCCTTGCAGATACACCAATGAAGTATGCATCTACTCATTTCTTCCTCTAGGATGGTTTCTTTAGGACTCTCATTTGTATAGTTCTTGACATGTTGCTCAGATGATCTTCAATATGACTGCTTTTGTCTTGTTTTGATAAGGGTCCAGCTGATAAGACGCACCACTTTACGTTACTTGATGGGGAGATGATTATTGATACTTTGCCGGACTCGCAGAAGCAGGAGAGAAGATACCTTATCTATGATATGATGGCGATCAACCAAGTGCCTGTCACAGAGGTTAGATTTACAATGAAGTTTATGGACATTAAGTTATTTTTAGTGATCAAAGTCGCTTATTCTTTTGTTTTCATTCATCCCCTAAAGCAAAGAACCATCAGAGACTTTTTGTGAGAGCTATATATTTATTTGTCTATTTTAAATGAAGTTAGGGGAGCAATATTTGGTCATTTAATGAGGGCAAACCTTATGGGCAATGCTGGGGTAATTTTGTCGGATGTTAGGGGCAATTGAAGACTTTCAATTTTGTTTTGGGTAAGGGAGGGGGAAATGTTTACGTCATCAATATAATTCTGTATTCTGGAGATTTTATATGGTGGTGGCAAAAATCCTAGAAGTTTACTACATGGTGCATGGTGTTATTTCGTGGGGCAGTGTGGGCCATTTTTCCCACTGTGTATCTGTCCCTGGTGGTGTAGAATTGGTTGAAATTGTGCAATCATGAAGTGCATTCATGTGCCATTGGTGAAAAGTTTTAACAATTTATCCCATTCTGTTTAAGCCTTTGGTCAGTATATTCTTGAACATCACCCCCATCTTTGGCTGCAATTTTGGGGATTCACAACCAATGTCATAAAGATGCAGGTTTATGTGCCTGAAAGTTAGGGATGATTTGAAAGGGTGACTTTTCTCTTCACGTGCTTTTAACAAATGAGCACTAAGCACTGCAATACGAGGCTTTTCTCTGAGGCTGGCTGATAAAGATGGTTTTCACCCTGCTGTAGCTTTGTGATAGGAGTAGTTTACGAAATAAATGGAAAGCACTGGACAAGTTGGATTGGATCTCTTAAATGCTGATGTAAGTGTAAACAACAAAAGAGATCTGTTTGAGAATTCTTTCAGATTTCTTCAGTGATTGGAAGCAGGTTAAAGGGCTGTGTGGGCACCAATATAAGATGCCAATCAACTCATGAAGAATAACTGGGATGTGGAGAAACCTGTTTGTATGCTAGTCAACCATTTGATAACCTTTTTTCACTGTTCAGCAGTTGCTCTACAATTGATTTTGTTTGCCAGGAGTAGGAGGAGAAAAACATGCTCATATGGCATTTTCTATTTAATTATTTTGTTTGTTTGTATTTGCAATGATCTCTTCCTAATCATTTCAACTGATTTTCTGGGATATAGTTTGAAGAGTATTTTGGGTAATTAGAATCATTCATTTAGACGAATATGCTGTACTTGTTTCAGGAACACATAGCAGAGTATACTGTATACCTTCAACCTAATGAAATGCTTTTCCTTTATTCCATCTACTAATTATAGGCTTCGATGATCAACTGTTTCTGCAGCGGCCCTTTCATGAACGATGGAAGATGCTTGAAAAAGAAGTGATTGAGCCCCGGAATTATGAACGCCATAACATTTACCAGAGTCGAAATCCATATTATAGATATGACCTGGAACCTTTCAGGGTATGAGAAGATTTTGTATTGGGTTTGCAATATATGATACTTGTCCCCTCTTTTTTTATTACGAAATTATGTTTTTTTTTTTTTTGAATTGTTCACCAGGTGAGAAGAAAGGATTTCTGGCTGCTTTCTACCGTTACCAAGCTCCTAAAGGAATTTATTCCAAAGCTTTCACATGATGCAGATGGTCTTATTTTTCAGGTGACAAGGATGGCTTTTTGAACTGTTTGCACAACTCATCCATTGGAGATTTTTTGTTCTAAATACTTTTAGCATTTGTGTCCTGATATTGTGGTCCTATGTGAATGATCTAATAAATATCAACACCCAAAAATTCTGCATACTTTGCACCTCTCACATATCATACAGTAAAAGACTTGTCATGTGTTGGATGCTTTTTATAGTGTTATTCCATTGTGAACAAGAGATTACTCATGATTTTATTTGCCAGCGTTGGGATGATCCTTATGTTCCTCGCACTCATGAAGGCCTTTTGAAGTGGAAATATCCTGAAATGAACTCAGTTGACTTCCGATTTGAGGTGTGTCCGTCAACATCACCAAAACTTAGCTGCTAACTCTGATGTTTTTGTGTTTTCCATCTTCATCCCTTTGATGAGCTTGAAATTCCCAATTGATGTTTACATCCTGATATTTAGTTGCATGTATTGACAGGTTGATGATGATGATCGTCAGTTACTTTATCTGAATGAACGAGGGACAAAGAAACTGATGGAAGGCCACAAAGTTGCATTCAAAGGTTGATGTGATTTTTCATGCATCTTGATTTCACAAGTTTCGTTCCAGTATAGAAAATCCTGAGTTAACAATTTACGCAACCCTTGTATTGGAAAACACTGGGATTTCAGTTGATAACCTTTGCTGCCTTTGATAATCTATTCCAGCTGTTGCTAACCATTTGCTTGGTGAATGTGATGGTTGGGAGGTTCTTCTTCTTCTTCTTCTTTTTTTTTAAATAGTGGGTATTTTTCCATTCAGATTGGCAAATGCGGTATTGCTTGTTAATGCAAGCAATTGTACGGGTGTCCACTGCCTTGAGCTGAATCCCATTTTCATATGCTCATATTTTTTCATCTGGGCATGCTCTCAGCTTGCTATACATTCATTTCGTTTTCTTTGTTTCATTTACCTGGTTGTTTTTTGGCTTTCAATTTATTGTTCTGGTTCTTACTCCAAGACCTACATACTTGCAGATGATTTAGATCCCTCTTCATACTCAGGGAAGATAATTGAGTGTTCTTGGGATTCAGAGGAACATGTATGGGTCTGTATGCGGGTGCGGACTGATAAATCAACACCCAACGAGTTCAATACCTACATGAAGGTCTGTTCTATCACCTTTACATGCACACATATCTGTATTTATATATGAATTCTGATGCATGTAAGTTGTTTGTATTTGCCATGCTTTAATTAATATGCTACTGTAGTATCTATTAGACATTCTTCCTCTTCCTCTTTTATGTTTTTGATGGATTACTCTTTACTGGAGTAAATGAATCTTCCTGCTGCTTCTTAACAGGCGATGCGAAGCATCAGGG